ACACATTATTCACTGCCTTGAATCGGGTAATATACTTACAAGAGACCTATTGGTTTGGGCTAAAAGTTTAGAACAATTCTTTTAAGATGCAATAATATTGGTCCACTAATTTGATGGCAATGAGGTCCAGTCCATATATTCGTTTTCGTGCGAACGTACGTGTGCGTGCATAAGATCACCCTTCAATTAAAATCTATCAATTTTTTAATGATCTTAATTTCTTGAACATCCAACATTTTAAAAAACGATTCAAACATTAACCTAAAAAAAAATGTAAGCATGTTTGAAAGTTGTTTATAAATAGTTTATGTATGTTTGAAAGTGATCGATAACCCGATGATTGCTACTCTAAAGGTCTGCTTGGGAGTTGGAAGTTTCGGGGTACCGATCATGTATTTTTCTAAAGTACCGATTTTGAGTGTTTATGGAGGGTTCAATTTTGAATGATTTTTAGTAACTGCTTTTTTTAATCGGTCCAAGTTATACTCGAGAGTTTATTATTCAACAATTCTGAAAGTTTTTTTTTTTTAATAGAGTAGATTTACATATATACTTACGTATAAAAAAGGTGAGTATGTAAAAACAATATTGAGTGAATGTGTATGTCGCTCTTTACAATTCAATATGATTTTACATAATTTAATCAATCATTTTCTATTGTGTATGGACTAATCTTTAGAGTAATTATTTTTGCTTTGAATAAGCTCTTACACGCCAATCATTTTTTATTGGATTATAAGATGAATATTCCTTTGGAGAGCAGAATAATTTTTCTTCTCGTCCAAGCTTTATTCCCTTTTAGCGTAGATTTGAAAATAATTGTTTTAAAGATTGTAAATATGGAAGAAAAATTTGAAAAAGGGCAAAAACTTATCGATTGGTGGTCGAGACATACAATCCAAGTAAATCATCCAAAATCATGTCCCAAAAAATAAACAAGCAATGACTTTTTCAACCTCAAATTCATCATCTATTTAACATCCTTGGTATTGTTGTTCGACGAATTATGTGCTCGCACAAATGATAGATTCAATTACAAGACGATATTAGTAAGTTTCAAGTTTGTTATTTCCAGCCTTTTATTTGGTATCATTTAAGAAGTTCTACAAGTTAAAACAGTTAAAAATGATGAATTTTTTTGTGCTGCTAGACTAGAAATAAATTTTATAATTTGATAGTATATAAAGTATTTTTATTAAATGCAAGAAAACATCTTAAAACCTTGTTTTCTTGGACTCGTGCAACAGAATTTTGCATAATGCGGAAAACAGGATTTGGACAAGGTAACCCTTTATATACATAATTCGCAGCACAAGTTTCAATAGGAGTAGGGGTTGAACCCCAACCTTAAGGTCCCGTCCCTAAAAATTGTGGAGGAGGTAAATCGCGAGATGTACTTTTGCAGACTAGGGTACAAGAGCTGTCATAAGTCCAAAAAGAGTTCAATTTCATACCTTATAAAATGCAGGAATCGAACCCTCACACTGCGACTGTTAACTCGATTGAGACTACCTCACTCATGTCCTTTACACCACTGAACTATGCCATGGGGGTAGAAAATAACCCCTGTTCGGTAGAAAATAAAATCAAAATTTTAAAGCAAGTCAAAGTCAATAACTAATTAAACCAATATATATTTTATGTGATCCACTACTTTTCAACCACATATTTCATTAAGAGTGCGTTTGATTGTCAATATTTTTTACGAAAAATATTTTTTTTCACATAATTTCCTATTTTTGCATTGTTCGATTGACAATTTTTTTACGGTAAATATTTTTCTACTTTTGGTCACGTGACTATATTTTTTTGAAAGTAAGGAAAATATTTTCTTTAGAAAGAGGTTATTTTTATTTTCCAGGTAATTTACCCTCTCTCTCTCGCCTATCCACAAATAAAAAATGAACAAATATAATATTTTATAAATTAAAAACTAAATAAATCAAATACATATAATTAATAAATTCCATATAAATAATTTCTACGCAATTGAATTGTCTAAAATTTATTTTATTTCCATATAAATTCCATATTCGCATCAAACGCATCTTAATTTCTATCAAAATCTAAATTCAATTCCCATCTGACATGGGCTAAATTAGTAGTGGCATTGAAGACAGGATAAATTCTCTTTTATATAATATTCTAAGTCCAAATTAAATCCCAGTTTGACAACTATTTTATAGAACTCTCTCTATCTCTTAAAAAAAATCATTTTCAAATGCATTCTAAATCCATGCTCCCAATTGAACGCCGTAACTTCTATCAAAATCTATTAAAAATCTAAATTCAATTCACATCAAACATGGGCTAAACTAGTAGTGGCAATGAAGACAGGGAAAAAAAAATTATATTTTATATAATATTCTAAGTGCAAAATAAATCACTTATAAAACTCTTTTTTTTTTAAAACTCATTTTCAACCACACATTTTGAAAATAAAATGTTCTACACATAAACGAAAACATTTTTTTTTTTACTTTTTAACAACATATTCTTCAAAAAAAATTATTATTCCAAAATTCATTTTCTCAAAAAAAAAAACTTTTTTGTAACGGTTGTCAAACTTATGTTCACAAATTTGGACGCAGCAGGCCAAGCATTTAGTGGAATGTAGACTTTCGTTTGAAAAAAAAATTGTTTATGGATTTCACCTATATTATGTGTGCATTTTTATATATATTTTTTAATTGTAAATCGAAACATTTGATTAATAAGAATAACCAACTTGGAGGTTGTGATTGGTGAAGATGAAATTTTTAATGTATTAATATGTATTTGATTATTTTAAGTGAAGTTTATTTGTACTTTTTGAAAAGTTATGAGACTTCATATGTAATTTTTCCTTATTTTTGTTGTATTGTTGCCTTCTTTTATCTTTTATTTAAAGATATGGATAAATTCATCATTTAGAGAAATGCAGAATTTTGCTACATAATTGAAAGGTTGTAAATGAATTATGTTAAAAATGGTTGAGGGTATATTAAATTCCCAGAGACTGAGGATGAGATGCAAAATTTCCGTGAATAATAAAAGTATTGAGCCCTTGTTTGGTATCATTATTTTCAAAATATATTTTTCTCTATCTTATTTTTAATCTCATTTTCTAATAAAATAATATTACAGGCAAATTTCAAAAATTTCATTATTTTTTAATATGTATCCTTCAATAAAATATTGTTTCAAAATGTATTTTTGAAAAGAAAAAAAAAGAAGAGGAAGAAGAGAGACTCAAACAGTCGCCAAGCATCCTGCGTACAAAACAAATTCCAGCGGCCATGCATGCCATTAATTCTCCATTTTTATTTTTTGAATTTTTTTAACAATTAGCCCTTGATATTTAACACGTATAACAAACACATCATTAACCTTTATCATTGGACTTTTTAGCCCCTAATTGTTTGATTTCTCATTTGTATAGTTTATCCCTTTTTACATAATTCCAGCAACCCTTTTTTTGCCCACCCCCAAAATCTAGCTCCGCAACTACTTGAAATATCAAATACTCGAAAAGAATATTTTCTTGTTGTAGTATCATGTGTATAGTAATCTAATTTTTTAACTTCACAAATGAATATATTTCGCGCGGGTTTACTCGCTAA